CAGAACGTTTTCTTTCAATGGGTGTTCATCTTGCAAATGACAGAAGTTGAACAATAAATCACGAATAGGTATAAAACAACTTTTTAGGCTAACTATTTTACGGTCTATGTTTGTAAATTCTATATCACTTTATCCAGAGTATGAACATCAGTGAAGAAAAAACACGAGTCATCCCTGCCTACCACTGTGAGGCCCCCCCATTTATGCTTCCATGGTAAAAAGAGACCTACGGCCGGTTTGTTAAATTTGGGGAAGGCCCGACCCAGTGCTTATTTTAGGGTTAACTTCTTATTTTGATTTGTTAAACGATTTCAACGCAATTGTTTTGTGCCTGGCACGTGAAATATTATTGGAACTCCATCGAGAAACTCGGGCAGGCCTACCCATCCCTAAAGGCAATCCACAATTTTAATATAAGTTTGAAATATCAAAAATACTCTCTGAGTTTTTCATATAGCAGCTAATTACAAACTTAAAATTAATAAGCGACTTTAAAATGAATCTGTTAATTTTAAAAAATTGAATACCTTTTTTTTTTAGAAAAACTACGATCAATCCTTCAGAGTTTTACCGGCCAAACGTCAACACTGCTTGCAGCAGCTCACGATATTTGAGCTTAATTAGCCTTTTCTCGTAATGCTGGTGTTGACACCTTCTGCTGTCGTCTGGGAAATCAGTTTGAAGACGGCAAGTTACTCTCACTGTATATGAAATAACCTAATTTACGAAAAATAAGATATGTGACTAAAGGTGTTTATAGCCCTCCTGACATTCCAATCAGTACTGTTTTTAGACAAAATTATTACAAATATCAAGACATTTATTTAAATAAATTACATGGACTTTTGAAAATATTATTTAAATATGACCATAGTGGCTCTCTCTCTCTCTCTCTCTGTCTCTCTCTCTCTCTCTCTCTCTCTCTCTCTCTCTCTCTCTGTCTCTCTCTCTCTCTCTCTCTCTCTCTCTCTCTCTCTCTCTCTCTCTCTGAACTCTCTCCTCTCTTTCTCTCTCTCTGTGTCCCCTCCCTCCCCCCCCTCTCTCTCTCTCTGTCTCCCTCCACTCCCCTCTCTCTCCCTCACTCACTCACTCACACCCTCTCCCCTCTCCCTCTCTCCTTTGTGTGTATCTATCTATCCTTGTATCTTCATTTTTATTTTTTTCTTGGGTACAGATGAGGGTACAGCGCATTGAAGCTCCCGGTGACCTTCTCCCATGCCTCCCGCCTCAGTAATAATAGCAGGATCATGCACTTTCCCCAGGATAGCTGATTTGTGCTTAGCTGTTAGAGAAAGGATGCTCTCCCTCTGATCCTTCGAAAGGTGAATTTATTTCCCCGCTGAGCAGCCATCACCGCGCGGTTTCCATCAACTGACAGGCGTACCCAACGGTTCGAAAACGGCGAACGTTTGGGTCCACGCCCAAAGTGAACGGTGCTTGGCCCAACGCAATTTACGCTCGTTTAACAAATTCATTTGAACTGTTCGGGCTAGCCGCAAACAAAATTATGAGTGTGTGGGGATATCCCGAATTGCGATGTTTAACAAACTGGCCGTATATGCGAAAGATATGAAAGCACGGATCACACCGCTCAATAAAATGTGCGGCCCAACACTCCTTACAGCGCCATCTATTTTTTCAGATATGTAACTAAGAAAAGAGAACGTTTATAGGGGAGTACAAATTTGTATAGATTTTTTTTTTTTTTTTTTTTTTTTTTTTTTTTAGTTTTAAAGGTTTAGTTTCAGTTGGAATTTTACAATGTTTTTTTTTTTTTTTTTTTTTTTTTAATAAGAGGCTTGAAATATAACTATAAAAGAACTACTTATATATATAAATTTACATGGAATTATATAATTACTCTGTACATTAATAACTTTTTTTGTTTTATTAGATTTCTTTTCATGCATTAAAATAAGGTTTTACACTTTTTTTCATAAAATAATAAAACATTAATAATTATCTCATGTGTATGCATATTTATATGACATCAATAAAAAAAATCCAGTTTAAATATTATACAATTTTATTGCAGAAAATATCATTGGTATTAATACAGTGATTATAAACTTAGATTCATTAAACTCTACAAGTTATTAATTAAACAAATCAATTAAATAAAATCCACAGTCATTCGGCATTAATAAATTCTTCATCTTTTTTCATTCATTTCTGTTGTCATTAAATCAAGAATAAACAAACATTCATGTAAAACAGTTATTTATTTGATTCCAAGTCATCATCGATGAAAGTATTAAGGAAAGCAGGCCTACAGCTAAAACAGGAAGCATAAAACATGCAAAAACAAACCAAAAAAAAACAAAGTCCCTTTCCTACCGTATTGAGGAAGTGACGTTTCATGATAGTAACAAAACAGACGATACACCGTGTACACAACGCCATCTATTGTTCAGATATTACACTATCCACCAATCGCTGGGGCTCACAGGCTTTTGCCATGCTTTCCTATCTCGTATGTTTCGTATATAGTCTTGGTACTGTTGCAGTGTTGAAATCCTCAATATTCGAATTTCCTTTGCACGATTTGCGTTAACTTCATTACGTATTGTAGCAGATAGCATTCTAAATTTGTGTGTATATATATACATATATAAATATGGAATAGATAAGCAAGAAATGGAATATGTAAGCAAAAACACAAATTAGGTTTACGAGTAACTGGCACCTCAAACATCGCTGCCAGAGAGATAAGTAGAAGCATGTTTCCAAGACTTCTCATTTTCGGTATTGGATTGGAACTGAACGCTATTGGAGGTTCCGGGATTCATTTCCTTTTCTATAAGGTAATTTGTTCGCTTTTCGTAAACATATATTTATACTCGTATTTCAGAACACCGTAATATACTTCCAAAATTCCTGTAAAAAGTTGAGAAGTAGCAAACAGGAATGACGTTTTCT